AAAAACACGCAAATCTGATACTACGAGTAAATTTTCTTTTCCCGGCTATATTCATTTGTTTTACTGCAGTTCTATTTTTAAATATTGCTTTATTTTAAGATTAAGGGCCAGTCTCTCCATATTTATATAATTTAATCTAAAACGTTTGCATACTTATTACAAAAATCATTTCAAAGTAATCCTGAAGTTTGATGCAGTTTTTGAGTCCGTCAGTATATAGTCCGCCCGTTGCGAAGGAAAATTTAATTAATCAAGTTCGGCGTGCTATCTTTGTAATAAATACTAAATAACACTCCAGCATAGCTTACAAGCCGAACGCTAGCTCGTAAACGACAAAGGTCGTGGTGGAAATATCAAAAGCCTGTCAGAACCACACGCAAAGCGTTATTAAATTTTAAACAGGTATATTTTTAAATTTTAACAGGGTGATTGTCGTGCTGTTCTAAAGCTTTATGTGACGTATGTACAAACCTTTGTAAACTTTACACTGAATGAGTGCAGATACTATAAGGAAATAAAAAATGAGCCCTTTTCAAGTCGAAATCCATAGCAATACTTATTATTATAATTCCAAGTTGTACAAGTAGCACGCGTAGTCAATAAGATTTTCCACGAGTTAAAAGTTGTTTGGAATACAAAATAAATATGCCATTTTATTCGTGTATAACATACAGCTCCCACTTCTGCTCACCCACGCAGTATAATTGCTACTTATGATAATATCACTGAACTATTTTAAAATCAACTGTTGTATGTGTAAAAATTGAATAGATATTGCGGTTTGGTGACTAGACTTACGTGATTTCTATAGAATTTTATTATTTATATTTATATCACAAATTATCGAAAAACAATACATGGCAACAGGTATTCAACTATTTTTATTTTTTTTAATTCATCTAAAAGCATTACTCAGATACAGAGATAGCTGATGGCATTTATTCACACAAAAAATACGTTTATAAATCGACATATAAGCTTTATTTGACTTTCTTTCTATTCTGGTCTGGTTTGATAAAAAATTATTATGCAACTAAGGCTACCTAATAATAAATATGTATAATCAAAGAGTTAATAATTTTATTCATACAACCTTTAACATTAAACATTTATTTGTGTCTGTGTTTTATATGTAATTTTAGCGACTGTGCCGTATGACTAGGTACTGGAAAAAGTATCAATTTATTATATAAAATAAATTATTGTATTGACGATTTTTATGCCATCAGTATGAAAGTTAGGTGACAATTCGAATGATTATATAAAAATATTCACATATCACGATGTAAATAAAGTATATTGCATTCATTTGTCATTTGTTTTTGTGAATTGGCGGCAAATCTATAACTCTTGTTACACGTGAATATGAACCTAACGCGAGAAAATTTTCGGTCAATGATTTATTATGACTTTCGTTGTGGGCTTAAGCTTAGGTTTCCTAGAAAAGCGGTGCCGTTAACTAACGGCCGTCATTTTACGGTTGTTAATAACGCCGTCTTTCCTTTTTAACATAATGCAAAAAACAATCATTTTCGCTCGTCCAAGTCACGTTTCCACTCATTGTATTAATTCAATATGGGCACCGCTACACGCGAATAACGTTGAACTACTGTTTATCACCGCTATGACGGCCGTCATGCAAATGACAGCACCACTATTTGACGTTACGGTGACACTCAACGTTCTCTAGTAAACCTACTCCGATGTTATTTATAGACAACGTATGGGTGACGTCACGCAACGTTACATTACGGCCGTTACATAACGGCGGCTTTTCTAGGAAACCTAAGCTTTACTCAACAACATAACCATGATCTTGTGCCACTATTTACAATTGGTTTAACGAGTTTAAGCGTGGACGTAGCAATCTCAATGATGATCCGCGTGAGGGACGTCCTTTAACAGCGACGATACTGAAGATAACAACAGTGCTATGCGACGCATGATATAGGAAGATAAGAGAGTGACCAATCAGCAGATACGGGCAAACCTAGGCATTGGTATGAGTCAAGTTCATACAATATTACACGAGCATTTAGGCGTCAGGAAGCTTTGTACCAGATGGATTCCCCAAACTATAACCGACGACCAGAAACACCTTCGCATGGACTGGTGTCGCCAAATGTTAGATACGTTCAATGGCGGTGACTCAAATGCTGTATTTGATATGAAGGTTATGTCAATCGCTGTTTGCGTGTTGTCTTGTAAAAATTTCGACAGCAGCGCCCTCAAGGCAGGATCCTCCTTCACCACTCCGCAAAACGGACTGTTGAATATTTGACTATGGCAGGTGTCGAGATTCATTATCTCGTCCTCATGTCATGTCAAAGTTTCACCAAATGCGACGATGTGTAGAGAGTAACGGATTACATCGAAAAACAATAAAAGTATTGGCAACTTTCTACATTAAGCCGTTTTTCATTTTCCAAACATTTTCAGTGTTACATAGGTAAAAACAAGTTTCATTTTTCTCCGCCATTGTTTAACATATATATATTTGGAATAAATAATATATTTGGAAGTGAGAAGGACTAGGATCGTTCAAGTAATCCTTTGCATTATGAAAGGCTCTAGCAAGAAGGTTATAAAAGCATTCAACGCATTTCTTCAATTTAAAATATCTCCCTAAGTCATTACACATTAACAGACTTGTTCCTAACAAAGGCGTACAAAATAAAGCAAAATGTGTCAACAATTTAACTGTAAAAGCTTCAAAGCACAAGAGAAAAGGAACTACAAACAGTCAAAATTCAGACTACAAAGGTTTATCCGCCAATATGACAGGAGACTCTTCAAGGTAGAGTTCGCAAATGCTTACCTAAAATAAGAATAAGAATATGAGGCACCAACTTTGTTTCCTAAAATGGGAATTAATCAAAAGATAAATAAAACTTTATTAATGTTAGACTGCATAGGAGAAGAGACTCAGAAGTTTTAATAATATTTCTGGAGTAATCCGTCAAAACACAAACAAATATCAGATACAATAAAAGATAATTACATATATTAAAGTGCATTCGAGTGGACATAATACATGGTGAGCAATTACCTTTGCTTGCCCATCCATCGTTACCTCGATAGATATAATCGGCTCTCAATTAAACATCGGCTTTCAATTAACCAATTCTGTTGAAACCAATCTATCACCATATCGCACTTTACAATCGAATTGCATATATTGAGATTACTGACGATAAAAACATAATATTTAGGTAGGCATATAACGAGGTTTGCTCCGTCTGTTAGGCTTAATCAATACGTATTATTTATTGGTTCTACTCACTTTTTAGTCTTAGCCTAAGATTCCTGCAACTTGTTTATTAATATTTCTCTATAGGCCTTGATGTGGCGGCTTATGATGTATTTGTCCCATGTAATACTTCCAGAGAATTGTACCCCCTTAGGCATAATAGTAATAATACATTCTAATTTACAGGTATGCATAGAATATACAATTTTGATTGAAAATTTCCATTTTTTATTTTAGAATATTATTGAATTTATAAATATAAACCAGTTGAGAATATTCTAATTAAGACTAGAAAAAATCAACAATGCTTAAAACAAAAACAAAATTAGTACCTTCGAATTTACAAGACTTTTATAATCGTTATACACAATATGGTACAAACACATAAAATTCAACACGGGTTCACATCGCGTCTAAACTGTCATGCAACTAAATAAAAGTTTAATTCAAAGCTTCGAAACTAATAAATTATTATTTTAATTAAGAGTCAAAGTGAGGGCTATTTACGTATCATTAGGAATAAATTGGTTTGTAATAAAAATCACTAAAATTAACCAGGAAAAAATATGCAAAAATATGGTATGCTACAAGTCTGATGTACATAATATTTTATGAACAGATCTCTTGGTTACGAGTAAAAACACTATACTACTACTATCTAAAAGTCAGATTGACTTGTTCAATATTTAAAAAAAACAATTATAATTCCTACATTCAATCCTCTCTATAGTTTAGAGAAAGATTTCAACAATACGGCTTCAAAAATATTAAGATTTATTCGACGTGTAAGTTCTTTTCTGTTTCAAATCAATAACTTGTGGGAAAAGTGTTAAAACGTTTTGTTGTTATTTTATAGTTCTAATAATATATTTTGAACGCTTACAACTGCTGCTTGCTGCTTTGTTACAAATCTTGAAATACAGCCCCGTTTTGTTTAGTTTTCGAAGAAAAATTTAAAGGATCGGGGCATCACGAATTGAGATAATCACGCGCTGTGAAATTCGGAACGATTATTTGCGTAAACGAAGAATTAATATTCATTATCGCGATCATGAGGTCAGCATAATATGTCATTTCAGTTTCAAATTTTACGTAAAAAGGCGATATCAATATTGGAAATCATTTATATAGAAACAGTTTTTAAAGAACTTACAGACCAAAGCTACTTACTACTTGATTAAAAAAGTAGTATCTGCAGTGCCCTTTCCTGCATAATTTAACAATCTATTGTACGAAATTGTATTGTATTTATTGTTAGAACTACGAACATATTTCATTTATACCTAAAACTATTGTGTGAAATACAAAACACCAGTATACAATGCACGTCAATCCACGTGCAGGGTTTATTGAAACGGCCTTGCAGTCAACGGGATCTCGGATTATCGACAATTGGAGGGAGCGTATCCCACTTTAATATCGTTCAAGATATTATCTACGTTTATCTGACAATATAAACTGGAATAGCTATTCATCTGAACATAAAATAGCCTGTTTCCGGATCATACGCTTGGTTTAATCAAATCTTCGGTACTATAATCACATATATTGGAAGGCTGAGCTGAATAATGTTTCATTGATCATTTATTATCGCGATCAGCTTTGTGAACCAAAAAAATTTAACCTTTACATATTCTTGTTAAGTCATCAAAACCTCATTAATCGATTCAATCAAAGCAATACTTTAAATTAATCATAGATCCACAGTAGCAGATGCAATTCACACTCTCAGTAAATAATTATTTCGTAGGAAATAGCCTTATTAAAACGATGGGAGGGAATATCCCAGATCGGTCCAAACTATAACACACTCGACTATAACCAAGAGCGGCCATCTTTGCTTCTCGCTCATCTCGTTGGCCTCGACTATCGTACGCCAATAACAAACCGAAGAATTTCTTATAATGAAGTGCTGAATAACGTCGGTAGAGACAAACAAGTTAACGAACAAGTTAACGAACAAGTTAACGAACAAGTTAACGAACAAGTTAACGAACAAGTTAACGAACAAGTTAACAAACAAGTTAACGAACAAGTTACCGAACAAGTTAACATAGTGAAAGAGAAAGATAAAGAAATTACGGAAAAAGACGGAAATGGAAAAACAGAAGAAGAGATTGAATTGGAGTCGTTACAGAAAGAAGACAGGAATAAACATTTTGCATTGACACCACTGGATGAAGGCTATTTTGATTCAGTAGTTATACCAGGTGAGTTCCTTTCCGTGTTAACTGATAGGTCGTAGTTTGTATGTGGAAGATATAGTTTGATTTTATAAAGTTTATCGAAACTTTATAAAATCAAACTATATTTTCAAGGTTCATCAGAACAACATAATCACTTTATCTTTGCTAATATACATACTAGGAATCTCTTTAATTAGACGATTAAAGACTCGAAGAATCATATATTTGAGTGCCTTTACACACACGTTATATTATATACTATTCGATCACATATTACTAAATAATATTGTATCGTTTATTAAAAACAAAATATTAATCAAATAAACAGTATTTACAATTTCTTAACCTACAGAGTAGTAAAAGAAAATTTAAAGGGTTTGGTCCCTGTGGGAGTGTACCATTAACGCTGGCAGCATTTCCACGCTGTATTGCGATACTTATTCGTTTAGAGAGGAAAGCATCAGCTCTGAGTTCACCGGTACTACTATATGTACGAGGCGCCTACTTAAATCTTTAATTAGCGCCTGTGCACTTGAATCCCACTGCCCAAGAATCTCTACTCCAAAGGGAACAAAATCGAAGTTGGAGGAATAAAAACTTTTAAAAAAATAAAGAAATATACTAAAATAATTATGAATTATTTATTTTTTTAATAAAATAAACATTTTGTTACTGATATCTTACACTTTTAACTAGGTGAAGTGAGAGCTCAGATGAGCAAAAACGAGTTGCTTGAACCAAGAAAGATTCGCCAGAATCCCAACTTGAGTAGAGCCAAGACATTGGTCGCAGAGAACTTGGATGAACTACGCCATGGTTTGTGAGTATATAAATATACATAATTCCATTTAGCTTATCTTAGTGGTTAGATCTATTTCACTTTTGTATTGAAATATTATTTACTTGGTTCTGTTATGATAATGTTCTATAGTCTGTGCAGGTGGTCTATTGTCATAACTCATAGCCTTGTCTTCGATCTTCATTAATTCATGGCGTCGGTCTTGAATACTTATGAAATAATTGCTACAATAAACACGGCTTGTCCATCACCATATAACAAGAATTTATGGTGTCTGAACTCAGAATTGGAATTCAAATGTCTGAAATGATTGAGATATATATGCTTTAGATTAGTTTCTGTAATATTTATAGAAATCCTACACTTAATGCCTGTGTCAACATACAAATGCATAAATATATTGGCTCATTGAATAATGTGTATGAGGATATTAGACTATATCGTGAAGTGTCTATATCATTTACTGTATTATTTAGCTTACTACTTTTTAATTAGTTTTAAATTGATTTATTTAAAGACTCATCTGGTCCTCCCTAGACACATCAAGTAGGTACCTTCTGTCTAGACTCGCGTAGTAGTGTCGCGTGAAATTTACATTATATTAATTTTAGTAGAGATATACTTCATATACATTGTAAAAGTTAATATAGTAACTAAAATTCTACTGACTATTCTTAGTGTACCGTGTAAATCTCCCGAGATAACTGCATAATTTAAATACAAGCTCTAGCAGCGGTAATACTATAAAATGTTTCAGTTATAATGGGGTAATCCTTCAAGACAAGAGCGTACCACTTGTATGAAGGCCCGTAATGCAATCGCAATCAAATTATATTGTGGATACTCTTTGTTTACTTAAATAGGTTAACGTTTGCCTTCTTATAAAACTAATAGAAAACTTTTTTACTTTCTAGGAAACTTCTAAAAATGATTACAAGACCATTATTAAATTGTTTATATCAGTAAAACAACCAATGAGTATTATAGCTAGGCACACACGACTTTACTCTAATATTTATTTGGTCCTTATCACTCTCGGGATATTTATAAATTATGTTAAGGAGTCGATAACTATAATTATTATAAAACCGTAAAACAAAGTAAGTTTCTACTGAAAATAAAATGGACTAAAAGATCATTACTATTATATGTATTTCTTAATTCTGTGTTAAAGAAAGTAATTCCAGATTTTAAATCAAATTGTAAAATAGCGTGATATCTTTTTTTAATAATTAACGTGCCAATATCCGTTTAAAGGCACTAGGCGAGCATCGTTCAATTTTCATTTAATAACCTCGTTCCAATTCTAGTCTCATTAAGTAATCCTGTCATAATAAATGAGTGAACTAGATAGAAAATAACAACATGAAATTAATATTTTGTTACCGTACAATATTGATCACTGATTTAAAACGGCACATGTTGTTAAAAAGATCTTATTTCTTCTTGAAATACTCCTGGTGTAATGACCTAAAGTGGTCCTAGCGTAATTTCAAGATGTTTTTATTTCTAGCTGGTATATTTTTATATATTTACCCACGCACACAGAATAAGAAATGCGAGAGACTTAATCTGACAGTGTTTTCATTATTTTACCGTTTGTTTATATGTATTTCTTTAATGACGAATCACAAGTGTACATTGTGTTACCTACGTGAATAAATGATTTTTGAATTTGAATTTTGCAATTTCGAAAAGTGAACGTTAGTAAACGTGTATCTTTACTTATTTTTAAAGTCCTAAAAACCTTTGACAAGTTGCGACAAACTGCGTACTCGTAACCTCATAAAAATTCGACGCACGTATATATTTGCAAAGCGGGCCGAAAGTGACAAAGATACATAAGTTATGATAGACTAAACACTACAAAATGAACACAGCACAATACACAAATTAATCAATACATTTAAAATTAATCTGTAAATAATAAATATATTAACAAATTATCTTAAAGTTCCATCTTTGGGGTCGTGCTTAAATCTTCATCACCCCTGTGAACTTTTATTCCAAGACCTCTAGAGCCTAGTCTCTCATTCAACTTTAAAAGTTTTGCTGATAACTTTTTCACCGCTACGAAGTTTCCAACAATTCTCGGCGGTGTGGGGTGTGGTTAGGGGTGAGGTCAGCCTTCGTAGGCGAGAGTAGTGTATTTGATAGTTATACCTATATAGTGTAAAATATGTGTGAACGGAATTTCTGTATATTATCCGTAATTAACCCCAAAATGCCGAGATTTACTTCAACATTAAATTAAAGATATTGGTGGAAGTAGACTCGAAGAATTTTGCCGGTCGTGCTTTTTGTGGTTATTCCATTTCTGTGGCTCGTGAGACATCAAGTGCTTTCCTTGGATAATTCTTTAATAAATCTATTGAACCCATAATAAATATATTTATAGATATCGAGTTACCTTTTATATTTTTAATTTTACTACTTACGTTACATAATATCATTAGGTAAATAATATTTCAACACATTATTTTATCATCAATTATCTTTAAATTTCTGCTTTTAATTTGACGTTTAAATATAGTTGAATAGTAGTTGAAAATAGTAAACTTTCGTCAAACTTGTGTTTTAGTTTGACGAAAGTTTACTATTTTTTAGCTCTTTGTTTTCATCTTGGGTCATGCTTCAGAGAAAACTTTTGATACGATCCATGTAATGTTTCAAATTCGAAGGATTATAGGAAAGTTCAATGGTCTTTGAACTTGTCTGAATCTATCTAGATAATATAGATTAGATAAACTTTTTTAAATAATTCATAAGTACATATAAGAGTTTACTATTGTTGTATTTCCTTTCTATTCTCGTAATTTTCTGCTAATCTCTGTAATATTATATTCTTTTTAATGTTTAATGTTTAGCATCATGACTAAAGAAATTGAATCATATCTTGTATATTAACATTATTTAATTTTACTTGGTATAAATACTTAGTATTAATTTTCGAGATATTGTTTAAAATAAAATCTAATTTTAAAACTGGCTCGCATGTAACCAACCAATAATGACTCACTTATAATTTTTTCATTTTAATTTAGCATCTCTTCAGAGTAAGTTAAATAAAGCATTTCCTATTCATAAATTCTATAAGTATAAATCATACTGCGTTAAGCAACATCTTAACAACAAGTATTCATAATTCTTATATGAAAGACAAGTGTCTAATAACCGATTAACTGATATTAAATGAAAAATTTATTAAATATATGTACAACTATGACTATTTAGCTTTGATCATTATTTCTATAAGTTACCGTAAGAAAAAATTACTTAGCATAATTGGACATTAATACGCCATAGCTCTATTAAAATACTAATGTAAAAACTAACCAAAACCGCCAAAAATGAATAATTGTCAATATATTCTTCAGACTCATCATAAAAGCCTTAATGTTGAAATAACATTAAAAAAAACTATAGTGGCAATTATGTCCAAAGATATAAAAGAACGAAAATAACTTGCTATTCCAAGAATATCATATGCCTTTTGACACGTAGCAAACGTGTGCTACTGAAGGCTACATGTTATATAAAATCTATATTGAATGAGCGGACGCCACAGATCACACTGATCAGAATGTTTATTTATATCTGAATGTCGAGCTGAACATGCAAATTGAAAACCTCATATTTTGTAGTCGTCACCTTTCTTAAAATAAGTGTATATTGTAATTTTTTTTGGACTAAGTATCTATACCAGGTTTAATATATTAGTTTATCACTTCTGAAATTTCATGAGAAAAGCTTTGCTTACTTGCAGGGCTAATAAGGTGTACCGTATACCTGTCTCCTTACTGCCAACAAACCTGCGAGTCTTGAAAATTTCACAGCCTAAAGGCTATGAAGAGAGGTGAACATTCACGGATTTTATTACTCACAGGTTCGGGTGGGCATTGCAGGACCTACTTCAAAAAAATATTCATTATTAATTAGTTGCTAAATATTTGGAATATGAAATCTTTTTTGTCTTTTACACGCTTTTCACCATTTACTATATTGAACTTTGCATTCGAATAGAAGATTATTATATTATTATAATATAATGGTAAAAAGTATAATTATGTGTAATTATTAGTCTTGACGCTTTGGCTACCTTTGTTCATTCCCCCCGAAACACAATAATATAGTGTTGGGGTTGGGGTGATACAGAGAGGACTTGCCGTAAAAGACAACCAATGACGCAGTATGTTGTCTTACTTACACTTCTAATAACATTAAAACTATTATTTTTTAATAAATGCAGTAATTTTTATTTTCTAAAACAATGCCTCCTCGAAGACTGTGTACCCTTAGATACCTCACATGTCCCACTTAGAAGCATGGATAATTTTGTATCCAAAGCAATAAGTATAATTTTAACGGTGCTTTTAGCGTGACATTTAATATTAATTAGGTGCATGAATTTCAAACAGAAATTTAAGAAGAAAAACTATAAATAAAAGAAAGTAAGGAATTATATAACGGGATCTTTGGCTTATCATGCGACTTAGTTAAGTACCAGCATGTACGTAATAAATTAACAATTAGGTGGAAATAATATTTCTATAAATGTTTCAGTTTTGTCCCTGTTACTGTGAAGATAAACAAAGATAGGAATGCAAATATAGGTTGGCCGATATTAAACGAACACGATATATTGCAAGCAAATTTGCACGGATCGATTGACCGTTTATTATGTTTAATTAAGTCTCGAACAACTATTATATTAATATAATTAAAATACGTTAATATAAATATCATCATTCTACATTAGAGTAGGATTTAAAAGATATACAATACATAGGTACAGATTTTAGGAGGAGGAGGATTCTGTAATGTACGTGGATGACAATTAATGATTCAGTTTAATTAGTAAGCGAGATATTCAACATTCAAAAATTGATATAAATTCTAAAAAAAGAACAGTATTAGACAACTAAATCACTTCTCTTGATACGACACTTCCATTAAAAATAGCACCTGGATATATCTACAGAAAAATAGCAACTCTTATGAACCCAGCCGCGTGAGTGTAAAATATTATGAATCCCAATTTATTAAATAACTTTTTATTTAATTAAGGAGTTGTTTAACTAACGAGGCTTGTCAAAGTTCGATTCATTATTTTTAAATATTACGTTAAAAGCAACGTTACGTTACGTTTTTTTCAACGTTCAAGTTCCTCATGTCTTGATTCCTGAATTAGATTAACCTGGTGTTCGTCAGCATATTTTTTGCAGTTTCGGAAGCACGTCAAAATTATACAAATAATGAAATTGGCAGTATAGGAGTTATGTATAAGTTTCGCTTGTGTCTTTGTTGAGCATGTGTTATGAGTTGGGTGTTATCAAATTAAATAAGCAATGTGCCATCAAGAACAAAAAACAGTAGTTAAAAAATAATAATATTAATATTGACGGGCGCGTCTTTAATTTAATAGAACCATACTACTAAGAATGATAAAAAACTGCCTTGCCGATTATTACTCGTTTTAATGGCTGAAAATACTTGAAATCTCAATCATAAATACATACGAGTATCATTATTTAGTTACTCGAATGTCTGCACTACCCTTAATCCTTTCGTGGAAAGTTGTAAACGAGGATCATTCAGAATAAAAGTAATAAAAAGTATCAGTTTTTATCCAAGTTAATATATTGTAATTTAATGATGCCCACTCATAAACTGATATTGTAGTTTTAGAACAAGTGTATTTTACTTATAAATAGGTAAGTATTATACAATATTTTTTCAATTAAGCTGAGCAAACGTTAACTTTACAGCAAAAATCACTGGCAATAATTGTGGCTAACACTACAGGTGTTGTATGGCACTTTATGTCACTGCTGTAACATTATGTTCCAGTACCGATAAGGATACGGGAAGCACCCTGAGACCTCAGAATATACACGTCATTGAGTCTTTGACACCTCAACAGTCGCCTTCTATACGCAGTAGCGCGTTGTTGGCAGCTGTCATCACCGCCCTGTCGTTGGCAGTTGTCGGTCTTGTTTTCGGATGGTATACGTGAGTATATTTCTTTCCAACTTCTTAGGTAATAAACATTGAACTCAAAGTAATATATTATGAATAGATATTAATAAGCCTTGTTGCACCCTAATAAGTTTTGATACATTTGCGTTCTAACATTAGGGCCGTGAATGAAACCTAGGACCTCTAGGTTGTACGATAGGCATGTGTGTATTGTTACATGTATTCCGATAATCATAATGTTATTCGGGTGTTACCAGTAGTTTAGATTAATGAGTCATAATAATATATTAATGTCGTTGTCATTTGTGAGTGTACCTGAAAAGTTTTCGCCATTTGAAAGTTATCCGGCCTAAGGTAAGCTCTGTACTAAATTACATTGGACATGTAAAGGTACAAAAACAAATATTTAGACATTGCTTATAGTTAACTAGTTTCCATACCTTCGTTGCACACCGCAAACAATTATTATTTCAGTTTTGTCGCTAAATTAATATTTAGGTTAAGCGTGTAACTTCAAAAGCGATTTAATTTTATATTTTCGTCATTAGCCTGACGGATATTGCTACATCGAGGTTAGTCGTTAGATCGCGACGTCATACTGAGTTTTCCGATTCAAATCAATAATTTATTCAATGATTGGAAATTGGCATCCGTTTTGCAGAATAGCCATGCTTCATTACCCTTTCTATATAGATTTATTAGCGTATAATTTGCTACTTCGTTTTAAGTATTAGTTTACCTATTGTAGTAGTGTAGTTTAATATAGGTATACCTTCAAATACTCGTAATCAAAGGCGGATTCAAGAAGGGATCGTGGGGTCATCCTCATCATCAAGTCATGGTAGCTGGACGGGTTCTAACTATATCACAAGTTTTAATTGATATTTTATATCACACAGCTTGTTAAGTTCAAGTTATATTACAATATTTTCTATACACTTTTCTAACACGGTCACTTTTCCAACACGGTCACTTTTCTAACAAGGTCACTTTTCTAACATGGTCACTTTTCTAACACATCATAAACACACACGCGTGGTTGTTATAACATAGTTAATTATTGGTCTAAATTAAAATTTAAACTTAGCTGATTTACTACTCTACCCAACATTCTGTTGTATTGTAAAGTAATATATGCTAACGACAACATGTAAGTGGGGTTTTAGCGACGTCCTAATCACAACTTACGCGCATTATAGTATTATCTATCTACCCAGTATTTCGAAGAAAGCTAAGGCAGCAGCTGACGTGGACTACCCGGCTTATGGCGTCACAGGACCGACTTTGGACCAATCTGGGGACCGTAAACTAGCCCACTCTGCTCATATGTATCATTACCAGCATCAGAAACAACAAATTCTGGCTATGGAAAGGTAAGCTTCAAAATAAAATAAAATAAAATATGTTTATTATGGTAGTCTTCATTTTAGTCGTTGGCATACATTTTGAAGAGATTTATTTTTATTTTTATTACTTTCACGACAAAAACATGAAACTATTAATATTTTTATTCATTTTAGTATTAAAAAACAGAGAAACACAGCAATATAAACTCAATAACTAGAAACCTACTATTTAATAATTTATCGTTTTTGGCCTTATTTAACTGATCAAGCGTATACTAGTGAATCTTGTGGAGTAAATAAAACCTACTTACAAATATATATCTATGTATATCTAACACTACCTATATGAAACATTATCTTTTCGAATATAAAAATAATTTGAATAAACGAATTGTTTTCACTAGTAAATCAAATTGCTTATTTTCCCTGTACTGTTAAATTCTCTTTAATCGGCCTTAAAAATAAAGAATAAAACAAAATATTAGTATAACTTTTGACAAAGGTTTGTAATTACAGTTTACTTGTATTAATTAAACAAAGTTTAACACGATCTCGATTTAATCCCTCTGTAGCGCGTTTTAAAAATGTTATTCAATTATTAAATTCTATACGCAACATTTTTTATTGTACTTATAAAAAAGTATTTTATACAAACCTTCCTATATCTTATATAGATAATACATAATGTAGACTCTAGGGATTCGTAAATATTTTTGCGCCGTTCTCGCCCATTAACTCGAAATGGCGTCCATTTCACATAATACACGCGCCAATATGATGGATTAAAATTGAAAGCACTCTGGGAACGACAAGAAGATTGATTAGTTATTTTAAAAAAAAATTATTATATACTTATCTTATAAATAAAATTCTCGTGTCACAATGTTAGTTACCATACTCCTCCGAAACGGCTTGACCGATTTTATCAAATTTTATATGCATATTCAGTAGGTCTGAGAATCGGCTACTATCTAATTTTCATACCCCTAAGTTGTAAGAGTTGTCCACCCCTAACATTTTATTTTTATTTTTTAAACCCTTTTTTTTTTTAATTTTTTTAATGTATTAATTAATATATAAAAATACATACAACCCCTAATTTTCAACCCCTATTTTAATTATATAGTTAGTACGCTCTTTTATTAAACTAAAAAAAAATTCCTAGAAAATATTTCCTAAATATACATGGCAAAATAACGTTTGCCGGGTCAGCTAGTGTGATATAAAACAATGATTTTTTATGCGAAAAACAAATTGTGCGGAACAGTTTCACCAAAATATGTTAAGATCATTAAAATTAGCTATATAGATGCCCTCGGCTCTCCCATCGCATCATACTTATCTTTAAATCATTTAGCATTAATTTATGTAAATTTTCGGTAAACCAAGAACAGTGAAGATTAAATGTTTAGTAAGAAAAGCCTCATTTTTAAATCGAACATTCAAATTCAAAACTGAAAATACTACAATTTCTCGGCTTTGCAATTATATCACTAAATTAATATCAGTTAAACCTTCAATTATATTATTAAACGACAGGCTTTCGATGGACGGACAATGATATTCATGGAGATGAGAGATGACGTAAATAACTAATTGTTATCAATATCGCATTGACGACATTTAGCTGATAAATAATAGAAATCTAGTTAATATAGTATAATAATGTCAACCTCTCAAATGCCCTAAACCACTAAACAATGTGTTGATTGATAGCATGGTCTTTTAATGAGTTAAATCATTTCAACTGGTAACATTATAATAATTGTCTTAAATATCCATTCAGACATATAGACGGGTAAACAATATGCCCAGTTAAAAGTATGGTATGGATTTTTTTTACATTAGTGGATTATAAAAAGACTTAGACGAGAAGTTTATAAGACTAGTCTTGTCTAGCCTCTCTCAACGCAGAATTCAATGTATGAATCAAAAAATTAAATACAGTTAAATGAGTTTTTTAATCTTGAGATGGTTCATCGGAAAGGATTTTGATAGGGTCGGTAATAGCTAATATCCAAGTTATGAGAAATATATCAACAAAATACAAAATTTATGTGTAATATAAACTTGACCGGATCAAATTGAAAACAAAGCACACAAAAGAGTTTGCGTACATTTGCTATTTATAATAACATCGTCCATGGTTCAGTGGACAATCCCTTGGTATGCGTAAACCCTAAATAGATACCAAATTTCAAGGCGGAAGCAGAGAGGGCTCCAATCACCAAAATATCAGTGATTCATACGAATATAACATAAGAATCCGAATAAGAAATTAATTTAAATGGGCAAATTATTGCCACTAGAAAATCATATTTTAATATATTGTCATTTTCATTCTATTAAAATTTTTAAAATTACTTTGACTCAGGCATGAACGTACTAATTGTAAAAACAAGAAAAAAAATTTTATATTTTCCATACCGTCAGTAATTAAAGTTATCGTAGTACCTCAGAATGATCATCGTCTAATGAGAGAATTTAAACCTTTCTTTTCGAATTCTTTAAATTTACTTTTGTACAAACATTATGGTCTGAAATAGCGTAAATACATTTCAATTCTTTTCAAATTTCTTTCGAAAACATATGAACAGCTATCCGCTTTACAATATTCTCCGATTTCGCATTATGTTATTGGATAGGATTTCTCTGTCATTCTCACCTTTGGATATATAATATATAATGGGATTTCCTTGAAGTTTGACATTTCAATATTTCAAAGCTTTTTCCAGAATATTGTGTTTATAACATGATGTGTGAACTTTTCAGCATAAAAAATTTCAAACTTATGGATTTTTATTCAAACGATGCATATTTATCCTTTCGTTCCGAATTCGCCAAAGAAATACTTCTTATTTATACCATAAAATAACTATTTTTACTATTATATTAAGAGAGCTACTAGATTTTACGTATTGGTTGTTTTAAGCGTACAAGACTTTATTCTGTTGTAATATTTAACTAAGATAGGAGACTGGTGGAGGCAATCTTTGATCTGCACTCCGATACATCGCAAGTTCACTTAGCTGTTATCCAGTTCCATTAAAAGCTCAGAAGCTATTTCAACTTTTCTATTAGGTTTACCTTGAGTAAAGTAAACGGAGAATATTAAACTGAAGTCAAGATTACATTTGATATTCTTGATAATATTATTTATTGTCGGTGAATTCTTATTCGATAACTCTAAATCAGTATTTTCTTATAGTTTTAAGAATACTTGCTACAATAATGGTTTATTAGAAATTGGTGACACCTCGAAAGTGGTACAGAAGTTGGCTACGTTTTAAAATAGCATTCAAAGATGGGCAGTTATTTGTTATACGTAACGGTCTAACGACAAGAACAGAATATTGTTTTTATCTCATAACCGGTAATGTATTTTTATTTTATGCACATGCACTTAGTTCGTATGGTAATTTGTTGAAATGTTTATCACAAGTAGCTATTAACGTCTTAAAAGCAACATAAAAAAGATTACTATACTATTTTTCTCCTTATCAGTCCATTTGCCAAAGTTTTAGAACATATAAATATAGATGTGCAACTCTCGAGTGTTTTGCTTTACAAATTTACGTTTTCGTATTCTACTTGCCTTTATTTGATTTCTTGACTAATTTCAGTTGCCTGGGTCGTAATGGGTCAGTCTCGGACCCAGATTCTGAAGAAGAAAACGAGGAAGGGGATTACACCGTGTACGAATGTCCTGGATTTGCTACTGTGAGTATAAAACAAACATGCGCTTGTTGTACTGATGTAGTGATACCATTTGCCGTTTTTTTATAAAAGATATCCCTTAACCTATTGTTCAAAATTATTTCGTTTAAGTTCGTCTCTGATACTTTCACTTGTTCAGTGTTATACGTGTAGTATCAATACATTGGACAGTCGCTCAGGACATGTTACACCGTCTCATCAGCTGTATTGCTACAAGGACAGGCAGCAGTTTGTCTATTTCTGTTTCATTATTGAAAAGACCGAAACAATATTTGAAAGAAATAACTTAGTTATTGCAGCTGTTTCACCGTTGCATCTGTGCTTCCATTTTGCTATCGTGTTTGCACGTAGACATTTCGTCAGCTGCGCTTCCTTTCCCAGTTGGTCTGCTCTTACATTTTCCTCTACACCCGCATGCGCTAAAACCCAAAAAGTTATTTATTTATGATCTTACGGATCTCAACTACAAGGGGATTGAAAGATAACACATGACAATTTGAGTTGCTTTAAAAACTCAACTCTTTCATCTTATAAAGAGTGAAAATCCAGTTATTAAAAGGTTGGGAAAATCACATATTTTATTGAGTTTTTCATGAATCCATATATATTATATGCTGAAAATTAAACAACGCTCCCAACGCGCCATTTTTAACATATCCTATACCTTTTGCAATAATATTATACAATGAAACGAAACTTGTAACGGTTCGACAACTATACTTAATAGCAATATGCAGACTTTCTTGGAAACACACCATATCACACACGACGCAAAACTTTATATATAAGCAAACCAAAAAATGCACTTTCTTCACCCAACGGTTTATCTTCCAGAGGCCCTTTCATCTTTCACCACTTTTTTAAAAACACAATTTTCACTGACGATTTAAAGCTTTTCTACTTTCACTAACAAACTTAAATAACATTTTCTCAACCTGTTATCAAACCTATGTATATATACATTTTATATTTATATACCAACATATATAAATATAAAATGTAAGTGTTATGTAGACATTTCTGTCAAGTATCGTTAATATGTCAAAAGGCTAGAGAGAGAGAAAGAGACTGGCCGCCCACGACACAGGGAAACCTAGTGCACTTTCTTTATACCTAAATGTTTATTAAGTTTTAAAGTTTTTTCTTTCTATCTTTTCTAATTCAGACGGGCAATATGGAAGTGAAAAATCCTCTATTCAGCGATGACCCAACTCCTGCGACACCGGGCAAGTGCGATGTGGTCCAACCACAGCCTAAGGAATAAACCAGCTGGCATAAACTGAAATCTTCTACTCGCAAACAGCTGTCACGTAATGGTAAACATGTGTATTCTAAATGGCTATGATTTGTGCTATACGATTATATATTTAGGCATCACTTCCTATGTTGCATTTTGATTACTTTATATTATCTAAGTCTACGTTAAAAACGTGATTCTTGCATTACGTTTTTATAATAATAAATATATCTGCCCTATGTGAAGGGGTATATGTCAAACATTTATTCATTGTCTATGTTTGGTGTTAGATATAAGAAAAGCTTCATGTACTAGTTAGTGTGACGAATGAATTTATAAAAAAATATTTTAAAATTTACCTCTAAGCTAAGTAAGCTCAAAATTACAAAAAAATATATAAAATTATTTTAATTATTGTATTTAGCTATCTAAATATTGATGTTAATTTACGAAAGATTTACCTACTACTCGAGTTCCAGAGTCAATTAAACAGTCAAATAGTGTTATTACCGGTTAGTTGTATAACGTATTTGTTAAATCACTTTTATTTGTAGGTAAAAATGAGTAATCTATTTATTCAACAAGAATTTCTTTTACTATTCGCATGAAATAAAGATGAAAAACAAAGTAAAAAAGCTTATGTCCAAAACTTTGATAGCATCGCGTTGTGCAGACACCCGAAAAAAAGATTGCACTGTGCATTATAAAATTGTTTGTTAAACACATTACTACATTACTATTGTCACGTGAATATTTTTATCAATTCGATTGGTGTCAGATAGAGGTTTTAAAGTAAAAGATGCTTGTTTAGAGCCCTTGATCCTCCGAAGTCTCTTCTAACTTTGTAATTGTTCTCAATATTTATTATGTCTATAAAGACCTACATATCCGTAGCACAATTTTAATCTACTTATTAAGGTGTCATAAATTATATCAGTGTTATAAATAATCATATTTTATGCATATTAAATACATAGGCTTATCGTAGAATTTAAGAGATATTTAACCTATCCTAGATTACAATTGAGGAGCACCATGCCCTCATACAAGATATAGATATGATTATTTACTATTTTTTAAGTTTTCAACTGATCTCAACAGTCTTTTCAAAAGGTTGTTAGTTTTAATTTAATTTAAGTATTATGTTCATATCACGAAAATCATACATATATTAAATGCGCACTATAGACGCAACTTGGATGTGGAAACGCTTCATCATCGCATTTTCTTTCTTATTCACCACATATTATGTAACTGAATCATTTTGCCTAACTTTTGGAGAAGCATGTTTAACATTTAAAGAGGTGGAAAATTTCATTTCGATAATGATTGCGCCGCCTCGCAAAATTAAATACCATTTATTAAATGCACTTGATTTAAATTCCATCGTACAACTTGCAAGCTTATAAAGCAATTCGCTTTCCATTTCTGTAATCGTTTCCCTGTAGGTAATTGAATAGTTAATAGGCGAGTATAATTTGATTTAGAACTTTTATTAGGTATTAATTATTACCAAGACAAGACATATGTTTGAATGTAAGGTTGACGCGTTCTATATGATTTTGCGTGTTGTTTAAGCCGTTATTATGTATTATAAATGTTTGGCGTAGACAAATGAGACTTCAAAGGGCCTACAGTGTTTTATTATTATAAATTTTTATGATATATTTCATCATCTTACTAAATTTATTTCATTACACAGCACAATTACAGTTCAGGTAAGATATTTCTTCTGTTTCTATGTAGAGGAATATCCTATTTAAATTGGAAAAACATTATCTTCAAAATTAATTCATATTTTTGAAAAATTGTGTTTTGGCTTTGGTCAAACAATTTAATTACAAAATCTTATTATATACGTATATAAGATTTCATGTAGGCCCTGCCGAAGCCTGATTGCTTTTATATATTTTCACATCACTTAGGGGTCATTATTATGAAAATATATGTTATTGTTATACAAACGTACCTACTCGTATAAACGCCTATAATATGCTTTAAATGTCCCTTGAACTGTGTAATATCTAATCCAACTGCTCTAATCGTATCAAATAACTATAGACAGTAGAGGTATACTATAACTATGTTATTGGATGTTTTATATTGGTTCATTTTAACAGGTTAAACTTATTCAAATTATTTTTCGATGTATCATATTAAATGAAAATTTCAATATTGAAAAATATTATCTAATTTAAATTAAATTCTTAAATATTTTAAATATTAACCTACTCAAAAATGGAAGCTTTAAAAAATTTAGCTAGAGCACAATTTATTCCTCCTGCTCCAAAATTGTATAAGAAATGATGGCCGACGGAACTCGAACTAAAAGTTCATGTTTGATGTTTCACTTTTTACTACATAAACTAAATTATAAATTTATCGAAACCCTAAACTTTCTCTTTTCGTATTAAATTTATATCTAAAACCCTATTCTAAACGTAAATTCATAAGTTGATACAAAATTTGTTTTAATTTTCTTAACGTAAAATCTATGTCTATCTTAACATTGTTGTGTTGTACTCGCTTCTGTGTTACTTGTGTAATGTTTGCACAATATCTCTTAATTATGAGCCCTTATGATAGTCTGAGATGGATACTATCTAGGGCGTATTCAGCGACATAAGTTCTATAAAGTAACAACGTATTTGTGTAATATTTAAATGAATCGATGAAAACTTATAAAAAAGATTAGGAAGTTGAGGTAGCTTTAATAATCCCGGGGAGGTCAACTTACTAAAGACACTTTCCACCATGAAGTAATTCCCATTGACTTGCAAATCAGCTTCCTTCTTTTGCCATTGATTGATTAGCTACGATTTGTGACCTACTGGTTAGTCGTCACAGAGTATATAACATTACTGTTCTAAAGTAAATATTTCTATGGTTTTTCATCTAGCAACGATATATATGTTATGAATATAATAAATGATGCATGTAATGAGATATATTGTTTAAGATGTATTCACAGACGCATTAAGATTATAATTGCACACCGCAAACGTAGTAATAAAGTATATTTATGTTGTATTGAACCAATATGTGTATTATATGTTTATGCAATTAATTTTCGTTTCATTTTAATTATTTAAGGTGCTACAAACATAGTCCTGTGAATTTGCCGCTTGCCGATCGGCCACTTGTTGCTGCATCTTCGCAAGGGCTCTCTTTAAATAGATATTGAAATATTATTGTGCTATTTTATTTAAGAATCACTGAATTATTCCACTGTATTATATACGTACGTTCTAGGAGTCTGTTATACCTAGGTAACACGGAAAATGTTTAGAAAATGAAAAACGGCTGAATGTAGCAAGTTGCCAATACTTTTATTGTTTTTCGAAGTAATCTCCGTTCCTCTATACACGTCGTTGCATTCGATGGAACCACTGAGAAAGCCCAGTGGGTCCATTCTTCCTCAGTGCGTTGATGCATTGCCGTGGTAAAAGGGGAACCTGCTTCGAGGGCGCTGCTGTCGATTTTTTTCCAAGACAACAGGCAAACAGCGATTGACATACCAGTCTACAGTAACTGTCCTTCCATCTTCTAGCACAACTGTCGCGAAATGACCTTTCCGACCAAATATGAGGCAATCATCTTTTTTCCTTGACTTCTTCCTTTGGAAACACCCACTGAGCTGATTGTCTTTTGGTTTTGGGTTCGTAGCAATATATTCAGGTTTCATCACCTATGATGATATCAAATACAGCATTTGAGTCACCGCCATTGAACGTATCTAACATTTGGCGACACCAGTCCATGCGAAGGTGTTTCTGGTCGTCGGTTATAGTTTGGGGAATCCATCTGGTACAAAGCTTCCTGACGCCTAAATGCTCGTGTAATATTGTATGAACTTGACTCATACCAATGCCTAGGCTTGCCCGTATCTGCTGATAGGTCACTCTCATATCTTTCTCTATCATGCGTCGCACAGCACTGATGATATTTTCAGTTGTCGCTGTTAAAGGACGTCCCTCACGCGGATCATCATTTAGATTGCTACGCCCACGCTTAAACTCATTAAACCAATTGTAAATAGTGGCACGAGATGGGGCTTCATTAAGAAATGCTAATCGCAGCCTATCATAGCTTTGTTGTTGAGTAAGCCCCTCATAGTAATCATATAAAAAATCAGTAACGAGGACATACATAGTTTAGTGCGAAATCCGTCAAAAATAGACTTAAAATAAACTGTGAACAGAACAATAATTTATAAATTTATACGCGACTAACTTTGTTCAAAATTACTATATTTTCTATAATATTCATTAAGAAATATTGATACATTATGTTTAATACAACCAAGGACTAATTACGGAAAACTTAATATTATGTATCAAGGCGCACAAATATTTAATACATTGCCACCCAGATTAAAAGAATTAAAACCTTTTTACAAATTTAAAAAACTTTTAAAAGTACATATAATTAACAACATACCTATAAATTAACAAAAATAAAAATAATCATATTCTATATCTGTGTCTGTAACAATCGTAAAAGTTTAATATGAATTATTAATGTAATAATTAATGTATTTACAAAACATCAAAAAGGCTATTCTAGCATTTACTTATGTCTGCGAACGAGCGTCTTAGAAATTATTACTATTCATTGGTACATATTGTTAGAAACTAATATTTTTATTTTACATAGTGTATTTTCAAATAATTTCATAACACGATGTACACAACTAACTTACTCTAAATCTTCTCGCTAAGTGAATGTAATTCTTTGAGAAATAAAGTATCTTTGAACCGAATCATTGACCGAAAATTTTCTCACGTTACGTTCATTTTCACGTGGGACAAGAGTTTTAGATTTGCCGCCACTTCACAAAAACATATGACAAATGAATGCAATATACTACATAAAGCTGGGTCCATATTTGTAGCATCTTGACGTATCACGATCGGTCGTATCGTATCTAGTATTTGTATCATAAATATGGACGTACATTTTGTCCATGTCGTATTTTTAAGGTGTATCTTGTAAAAACGCGTCCATACTTATCAAATGCTGTATGTCATGTCAGTGTATCGGCTTTAACTTTACAAATATAGACGCACTACTTTTCTTCCGATGTATCTTTTCCAGATGCGCGTGTCTTTCAGTGCACCTTTACTTACTGCACTACATTTAGCTCAACAATGTTTATTTCACTGCATTCACATCCAAACTTGTTGATACGACTTGTATCCCCTTTGATGATCGCGAAAAAACCGACACAGGATAGTTCGCGGTGTATTAAGTATCGTATCGTGATACAGTATCAAAATACGTCCATACCACCGATCGTGATACGCGCCGAAGCCACGCAACGGAGATACGATACACCGAAATGCTACAAATCTGGATCCAGCTTAAAGCTGGGTCCACATTTGTAGCATGTTGACGTATCACGATCAGTCGTATCGTATCTAGTATTTGTATCATAAATATGGACGCTCATTTTGTCCATGTCGTATTTTTAAGGCGTATCTTGTAAAAAAACGCGTCCATACTTATCAAATGCTGTATCATGTCAGTGTATCGGCTTTAACTTTACAAATATAGACGCTTCACTTTTCTTCCGATGTATCTTTTCCTGATGCGCGTGTCTTTCAGTGTACCTTTCCCTTCTCGTACGGTTCAGTCATATCGTCTTCGTTCCCAAACGGTTTAGCCATGTCAGCAATTGCTCACACTTTGGCGGTGACTAGCGCCTGTTATATTATCATTAATAGTATTTTAAAAAAAGTTAAATCCAGACATAGACGACGCTGGTGGGACCTTGAAGTGTTTTGAAACCGAAACAAACATGGTGGAATACCATTTCGAGAGCGAGATTTTTAGCTCATTTTTCGAGTTTTAAAATTTCAGCATACCAGTGGAAAATACAAAAATTTCACTCGCATGTCACCCATTGATGTTGTGTATTCCCTTTGATGATCGCGAAAAAACCGACACAGGATGGTTCGCGGTGTATCAAGTATCGTATCGCGATACAGTATCGTGATACAGTATCAAAATACGTCCATACCACCGATCGTGTTACGCGTATCTGATACGAGGTGTATAAAGATACGCGCTTAGTGCGGATCGGGCCGTATCAGATACGGCATGTATCATTAACGGGTATCATTTTGGGTCCAAACTAACGATCATGATACGCGCCGAAGCTACGCAACGGAGATACGATACACCGAAATGCTACAAATGTGGACCCAGCTTAAGGTTACCAAAGAGTTCTAAAATTGAAATTCAAAAAATGTTTTCATTCTAACTGTCCAGTTCTTAACATTTTCAGTGTTACCCACGTATTAAATGTAAGTCATGTATTGTAATGACTACAATCGCTGTCAGAGATGCCTAACATCAACATAATTTGTCATTAAGATTGATTTTATAATAATGTTGAGAATTGTCTTTTTTAGAAATTAACTAATAGTAGCGCGCGTGACTTTTACCCCTGAGATCGTGCGTTCAGATCCGGTCTGTGCACTAATGGATTCCTATTCTATGAGCGCAATTAGTAATTGCTCGTACGGTGAAGGAACGTCGTGAGGAATCCGGCATGCCGTGGATCCTAGATCTATGAATTGGTGAATTACTGAATTAAAACACAGTTTCTTTTAAATTAACTTGTCTATTATAAATTAAGCGTATTATTATTCTTATATGGCATTATTTATAGCGATTCATAAGTATTTAGTAACAGTTAGATGTACAAAAATCACAACTATAAATTATACAGTCTTCAGCGGATTACCGTTTATAATTTTTGCAATCAAATTTACTTAAATTTTCACATAAAAAATTAAATCAACCTTCTAATTTTATACAGGCTGGTGGTAACTTCTGTCGTACGTAACGTCTCATTCATCTATTATTCTTCTTATATTGATTATTTTTAATATAATATTACGTATTTTTAACATTATATTATAAAGTTATCAAAATGGCAACCATCGCGTACATATACTCATTTAGATGATATCATTATACTAGAAAAACTTATGTGCTACTTCAGGTTTTTGATGCAAAAAAACAATATGTCATAACTTATCCTTATTGATAAACGCAAATAGCTGAATATTTTGTCATATGTCTGTATAAAACTAATTGAGGCTACAGACGCTTATGAATTCCTTTGAAAGACAAATACATAGATGATTTTTTTCTAAGAATTTTAACGGTAATCAACTTTAGACTGGTTGAATATAATTTTAATAACTGCTGTCTTAACGCACATGTCTATGTCGTATTATGCAGTCCCACTGTGCAGAATGGCCACTAAAGATGCATTTACAAAAGACGTGCCTATTCAATATCTGTTAATAATGGTAATGTTACAATATGTATAATAAATCTACGCGGTCACATTCTTCCATGTACCACATTGAAAATAACAAGCGACATAGTATCCGTATAACTGTATCACTTTTCTTAAGTACGTATTTAGATTGTATAAAAAGAAATGTGTACTAGCGTACACACGTAAGAAGTGAAACCTCTTTATGACCTTATTTTTCGAAAAATGATCTACTATATGCAACTTTACAGAAATTGGTTGAATAAAGTTAAATTAGATAAAGTTTAACAGGAGGCTTTTATTACTATAGACATGAAAAAAATAATACAATTATTTAATTTTACCTTATTACTACTAAGATTATTACAGAATTTCATTAATTGTAATAGAATTATTACTATCATTGTTATCGTTATTATATATTTTTGTTATTAATATAAATTTTATACATTTTATGAACGCACTACACGGTTTTTGACATAAATAATAATGATTTAAAAGAATAATTTCTATTTATAACTAAATACTGCAATATTTATTAAATATAACGTGAAAAAATTATCCAATATAAAAACAGTACGTTGCGGTAAGCCTGAAGTTAGTTTTCAGAGGTAGGCAAACTTCATAAACAACAAATCTTGCAACTAATCAATAAATTGGATCCGAAATCGCCGGACAAGAAAAAGATGGCGCGTAACGGAAAACTGTGACGCGTATGCGTACGTAAATTGTTTTCCAACGTCGATAAAGAAGTTTCACTTCAAAAACACCGCAACATAATACTGTACATTTCATTAGAATTTGGCTCTTTGTCATGCAACTGTATACAAGGCCATGTAAGCCTGCATCTTGGAAATAAGACAGCAATCTCTAATCTACCTCGAACCGGCGACTTTATTACTGACGAATAATTTGAATATATTTGAATTCATATTATGAGCTTTTTCATTTTGGGCTTTTGAGTACGATCATGCCAATCTAAATAGCTTTCCATTTTCTAATGTAAGCGAATCAGGGAATGGGCAGTGCTTTAAATAAACCTTCCAATACAGGTTTCGTTTTATGTTTGATTTATGTTATAAAGATTAGCCGACAGTTCCTATATAAAACTCTAGTATATAAATAGTTAAATCGGATCCAAGGGGTGAGTACACACTCTATAATTATCACAACAATACCTTCAAACGTATTACTCTAATTGAAACATATTTCACCACTTATACATTCTCGTGTTAAAGACAAACAACATATTTATGTAAATGATATGATCAAAGTATTAGTGTTACAAAATTCATTATTATTGTCAATAAATTGATAAAATTTAATCATATATGAGATTTCCGGATGAAATCTAACAAGGCAGTCCTAACCTACTTAACAGTCGACCGGTCGCATCTGAGCGACCTAATATTGCTTATATCACGTCTGAGATCTCATCACTACACAACACTCCATTAATTCCTAATCATCGTTGTCCAGTTCCACTAGTGCCGCCTGCAATCGACCTTTCGACCGGCAGCAGGCTGTCAGACATAAGATGCGTAACGCTAGACGAAACTGCGGGCTGAGGGATACGAGGATTATGACTTTCCAAAAAGAGTTAAGTATTCCCACCCAGACCATGCCGAAGTGCAACATGGGCATCTTTAATTCCTGATCCGTGAAATACTCGTACATCCTGATACCAGTATATGGGGCCCAGCTCAACCAGAACGTGGTGACCATTACGAAACTCATCCAATGGCTGGGATTAGCTAAATTCTCTGCCAAAGCGGTCGCGTACTCCTTGTCGTGTATGGGTACTCCGCTATTAAGCTTTCTCTTCATGGCAAATATATACCAATAATTATGGACGATTGATATGACGCTAGGGCCAAGTATGAGCATGGCTAAAGTTGCAGTGTAAGCATAAGTAGTCCCCCAGTCGAGCATGCAAATCAGAGTCTCTTTGTCGAAGCTTGCATCCTTTTTGTAGCCGAGAAGGGGAGGACAGCACAGCATGGCCGCTGAGACCCACGTAAAGACCATCCAGCACTGACTTCTTGTGCGCGTTTGCACCTAGGCAAGGAATGCAGAATTATTCACAGATAGAACAGAACGTTGGACCTGAAGCCGTCCTTTGACCGCGAGCGCCAATTCGAACGATATGTGTATTTTACCAATTGAAAACAATATTAAGATAACGAAATGTTACCTATATTGTTGCGTTTAATATTTAATTTAATATCTTAAGAGTTAAGACACCGTTTAAATATGATGGATTGGAACAAATATTTTATAATAAATTTGGAACGTTTTATTGGACGGCTGATAATCAGCGACACGTAGACAAGAAATGAATGGCAATAATATAATTGAAAACTTTGAAAAAAGGATAGATAGTTTGCGAAATCTATAAGTTACAACTAGCGCAAAGATTAGAAAATATGGAATCCGTTATAATAAGGCGGATTAAGATATAATACATGCATCTACTTATAATCTAGAAACACACTATATTTTTATCTAAGTATAATGGTTATGAGTATATAACAGGGATATAATTGATATTAAAAAGAGCAAAGGACAAAATTTTACTGACCGAGAAAATTTAGCGTGTTTCAAATCCAATTTCAAAGGCATTCTGGCTCTTGTGACATGTTGGCAAGATGAACTCTAACTATGAGAAATCAAAACCCATGCTCCACGGACGTACTCATTGGAATGTTCTCCTCAGAATGCAAACGCATGCAAATGGAAATAACCACGGACAACGCAAATAAGGTATCAAAGGAGACCGTACCTCAGGCATCTAAATGAAGCTTCTACGTTAATGCGAACTAGCACACACCGAGCTTACTCATCCGATACGTCATTAGAACCAGATCACCGATAGTGGGGAAAGAGTAATAAAGAAAATGATATATACCGTCAGACTAACCGTCTCATAACGGAGCGGTTTCCTAACGGCGAGGTAACGATCGACCGAGATCCACATGAAGGTGTAAACTGAGATGGACCAGAGAGTGACCTCAAGGTAGCCGACGAGCCGACACATCAGATCCCCGAACATCCAGCGACCGGTGATGGCCGGGTATATCGAGAGAGGCACCACGAAGACACCGCACAGAAGGTCTGCCACGGCCAGCGACAGCAAGTAGTAGTTTATCACCTCGTTCGATAGACCTGGAGTCATTAGAAATTCAGATCAGTCCTCCTATCGATTTCTCAATTTATTAAACTGTATTTTGACATTTTACGTTACGTAGACATAAGGTGCATTTAATGTAGTTTTCAGCTACGAACCTAAGTAGGATTGTGATAGTAAATTTCTTTGCCGTTTCTTTATCGATTATTGTTATTAAATTAGCACACGGTTTTCCGCTATACTTTTAATAAGTTAATTTAACTATCAGAAATCGGTAGACTGTAACCGCCCGACGAAGACTCACCTTTGAAATTAAGAAAGGCAACTATGATAAGTAAGTTGGATATGATGATAGCTACTCCGATCACCGCTATGATGCCGGCTTGTGTGAGCGACTCAAAGGTCGCGAAGGGATTGTCAGCCATACTGACTTCGCCAATTATAGGGCCGCGACTCACTGCGCGACTAGGCATGGTTTCCTGCGTACAAATATTTGTTATTATATAAAAACAGTTTTACTTATTTTTAATATAAAAATTAGAGATTTGTGTATGAATTGAAATAATAATAATTGGCAAGGCTTATTTAATTCCATAAACAATACAAAAATATAACGACACAACATATTAACAGTAAGTAAAAGAACTTAATATTCAAATACATAGTTCACAAACGAAAATTAATTTTTTATAGGTAAGGTGATTTTATCTTAGTAAATACTATACACATTTATATGATTTGCTGTCTTTAATTAGCAATCATTATTTTCAACTTCGAATAACCCGAAGCAAAATAGAGATTTAAAATTTAAAAAAAATTGTAAACTAACTTTTAAAACTATTTCCACATTTTTAAGTCGAGTGAATATTTATTACAATTTTACCAGCAATCAAAGGTAGTTAAGATTATATACCTATTATAAAATATTTTATCCTGAAACTAACATAGGCTGCTAGCGATATTTGTCGCCGAATGGATAATTTTCACCCACATTCCCAAATTAAACTCCTGAATATGTATGAAACACTGTGGATTTAGGTCACCATGATGTTTTGTACATTTGAGTATCGATATTAAATTTGCTTAATTACTCACATACTATTATTACCTTCTTTACTTACTAGTCTTCGCGGTCTGCTTAAAAAGTAAATCACAATAATATTTATTTTAATCTAATACATATATAAAATTCTCGTGTCACAATGTTCGATCCCATACTCCTCCGAAACGGCTCGACCGATTCTTATGAAATTTTTAATGCATTTTCAGTCTATCTATATCTTTCAAATCCCTAAGTGATAATGGGTATCCATCCCAAAACAAAAATATTTTTTAGACAAAATTTTTTGCTTTTATTTTTTTATGATACAGCATACAAAAATACATACAACCCTTAATGTTCACCCCACTACGATCAACCCCTATTTTTTATTGGTTAATTAAAATCTTATGACTTGAACTCTGAGGTTAATATAGAGAAAAATCACAGAAAAACCTAAAAAGTTTTAAGTTCATTATTTTTAGGTTGTCTGGGGTAGCATAACAAAATGTTCCATGTTGGCATATACTAAAAAGGTACGCTAGGCATTAAGGAGAAACGAAATTCGAGGAAGCAGCTAGTTATGGAGAATATATATTATTATTAAATCTTTAACTATTCTTAATTGATTGTCAATTTTAATGGCAGTTTTAATTGCCCCCAAGACAAAGCCAAGCTCTGCTGCATAGCACAGGTATATGATGTGACTGCTGCCACAAATGACGCCAGCTGTCTCACAAGGGCCTTACATTTTCACATAGTGGTGAAGCGTCGTATAATTAACATAATTCTTCTAAAAACGTGACATTTCATTACGTGAAGGTTCTGGGGATTTAAATTTGGGCGAAACTATAAATTATTGCTACAAAAAACCTTAAAAATTTGTAATTGAATAATAAAAACAGTCAGAAATGTACCTCATGCGTCACAAAGTTCGAACTATGCAACTAAAGAATTTTACATGAAATGCCATAAACTTGTAAATGTCAAATATCTTTTCTATCCATACCCGAGAGCTCTGCCTGATATTTTTATACCCATTGGCATAGCGTATTGAAAGGGAAAGTTACTAAAATAGCTGGAATTACGTTCAAAACAAAGTTGTAGCACAAAGGTCATCTTTACGAGGCCATTTTCAATTGTTATTCGAATTTCTAAGTGAAATTGAATGAGTATATAATTATAGTCTTCGTTGCAATATATATATCGTTATAACCATAGGTATTATAACGGAAAATATAATAACTAAGATATAAAAAAGTTTCATAGCTTGAAACCATACATATGGTATAGTAGTATCGAATATACATATACCGTTTTCATAGTTAATTAAATTGTATCAGTTTAGGCTTCACCCTATGGAACGATACTCGCTTACGTCATAGCTATATCCAACTGCGCAGGTTCCTCGAATTATTCTATAACGTATTAAAACGAAATAGAAGATAGACCGAGGTCAAAGAAAGAGAAAACTGCCGAAGTTTAGAAACGAACAAATTTTCAATCCGAACAAAAAATTGGTAATAAAATAATATTGTCCTTTGTTTAATAGAGGTCAAGGGTTTTTTTCAAGAAGGAAGCAGACAGGTACAATGCTGTGGTGCAGGTGAATGGGCTCCATTAAGTTTTATTTTAGTATTATATTTTATATCGTCGAAGACGGTACTTTTTTTTGTGGTCTCCGGTGGAAGAACTTTATGTCTTATATTTTGAGTCTTGTGACCTAAATGCTGGCCTCGGTTTGTAAACAGACATATAAACAAGGCTTAAACTTAGACTTAATACACTGAGGCCACGTTCACACGGCGATTATTTTCCCGTATACCGTATACGAGATTTTATCGAATAGAGTAGTGACAACAGAATATATATGAAAACTTAAAAATTGTTTACACGGCGTTAATACGGGAAAATCCCGTGTTCGAGAAATATATTTTACCGTATACCGTGCGAAGTTGTCACTGGAAACGCTGCGTCTCGAAACGATTTTATCGAATACGACACGCAGTGGCGCTTATGTTCATGTTGTCTCGTTCACACGACTCGCCCATTCGAGAATCGTACGCACTCTTGTGCGTTGCATCAGTCGGTTGTCAATATGGTTGTCAATACAGAATTCCAATATTGATAATATAAATAGGCTTTTATTTCCTTGATCGAAAAAAAAAATCGAATCTAATGGTTGCCGTGTGAACGATTGCATCGTAAACGGTAAAACCGTATACATGAAAAAATCGAATCGAATGGACGCCGTGTGAACGTGGCCTGACATTTCAGAATCTAGATTTGATATCTACTCGAAATGTATCTACTCGAAATGTATCTGCACGAAATAGACCTATTACATTACGAAATTTAAGACATTCATTACTAAACTATTAGACATTTAGAATAACTTTCGGTAATCCACCTCTGACTTAATCGGATTGTTTCCGCAATTTCGTCAATAAATAAACTTAAAAGAAATTAAACGTAAAGGACATCGAGAAACATAAGTCCTGAAACTGATCTATGAAATTCATTAAAAAACTTTAATAGAAAGCTATTTTTATGTACATACCTACATATCAAACCTATAAATAATTTAAATATTTAAAAGTAAAGAAACGCTAAGCTACAAAGGATTATTTATAGGTAAATAGTTAATATTCAGTATTCACCCGGTATCCATATTTCCATTATATTTTCACTAACACCAGCGTGGCTCACGAAAATTGATTTGTATAATATATAGGAAGATTATTTCAAGTGCTCCGTGCGAAAGCAAGTCGTGAAATGCCGTTGCGGGTAAGGACAGTAAGTATGTGTCTAATACATTACAAAAGCTCTACAGCTTACGTACTAGGTCAGTGTAATTAGGGGGTGGTGGGAAAAATTAAGGTGGTTCATGTAACAGAAATTTGCTTACACAGCATTCCTAATATTACTTATCTAATATATAAAATTCTCGTGTCACAATGTTCGTTACCATACTCCTCCGAAACGGCTCAACTGATTCTTGTGAAATTTTTATGCATATTCAGTAAGTCTGAGAATCGGCTACTATCTATCTTTCAAACCCCTAAGTGATAAGGGGTCCAAAAAAAAATTCTTTTTTTTTTCTTCTGTTTTGTTTTTATTTTTGAAAGATACACCATACAAAAATACAAACGACCCCTAATTTTCACCCCTCTACAATCAACCCCTATTTTTATTATTGAAGATAGTTATTTTTATTGAACTAAAAACATGTTTCCTAGAATTAATAAATAAATTAACTGAATTAACAGTTTTATTATATACGTTGTAACTCATAAAAAGTCCAACAAATTATGAAAAATATTTTCTATTTAAGTACAAATACACTGCAAGTCTAAATGCTATTAAAATAGTATTTGTTAATACTAAATTTATGAAGTAGTAGTAATTTATAAATATATTTTCATATACTATATTTTTTTGTTAATGTCGTTTTTTGTTAGAAATTAATAATTAACACTATTATTCACTTCCTAATGTATTACGAATTAATTAAACTGATATCATTTCTAAATTAATTAACCATTAAGAAATACATAGGATTCATGCCAAATTTTCGCTGGGTCCCGTTTTTAGATTGTATAATTACTACAGGCTGTTAGACTGTGGTCATACTTAGGAGTCAAGGTTATAACTTAGCTCGGTGCCACCTAGCGGGCGGTCGAAGGTCGGCCTGCGCAGAATCAATACATAAAGTGATTCGCACCTATATGTTTGTCACGTTGTTTTGAATGCAACGGACTAACACGCACAAATACGTTACGCGCAAATATGTGTTGATTCGAATTGCTCAGCGCAGGTCGGTATTATTATATGATTTCGCTAGTACAATCATCAAATTCAAAGATTCAATACGAAAATAGTTGACAAGACAGAAGGAAACTCACCGACTTATGAACCAGGGAAAATAAACACAGTTTTCGTGTGGATAAGCTATGATATTTAACTAACTTTCACTATGAAAATCGCTTTTGCGAATAACATATGAATTATTTGAATATTGTAGTTTTTGAGTTACTTAAATTAACCAACTAATAAACTAAGACCCCTGTTATCCAAACAAGCACTCGTGGCGTGGCAATGACAAGACAATGAGATCATTCAAACACAAACTAATTGTTATTCAAAGTCAGTAATACATTATTATTAGTTCCGCAATTGATTAAAAACATTACAAGTTACTCTCTGTAAACGCTCAAAGGCTGCTTTACAACATATTTACCCTGTGGCAAGTTCTCATTTTTCATTCAAATTGGACCACAGACAATTCACGTAAGATTTGTATGTTTAACACAAATCAATACAGAAAACAGAGACAAAAAAAAGGATTTAAATACACATTCGCGTAAAGAATATTAAAGCAAGAAAATACAAAGAACGGACCAAAAACTTTCACAACTTACAAACATATATTTA